AAATTACTCCAGGTGCATACACACGTGTGTGCATGATGCTCATGTAACCATCCCTCACTTACTATTTGAAACACACATGCATGCATATTTGTTGTACATGTATATTAACTAAAATACTTTTGGCAAGAGTATTTTAAAATATAAACTTTTACTAGGATGTGTCCTAATTAAGATGGCATCATGTATTTTAGATATAGACACATGACTTCAACTACACACTTGGCTCCAAATTAAGAATATGCTATAAGCATATAACTGTTGACTTTTAGAAGTTGGTAAATGTTAATTTTCTTATCTGAAATAAATATTTGTGTAGACACTTTGAAAAAGCAAGTACTTTGCTAGCTTTACATAGATTTTGTTTTAAACATTAATTGCTACCAACTTTGTTGTTCAGGTCTTCTGCAGAACAGTAAATTGCATGTAAACATAGGGAATATTAACTGAATCTAAGGAGGAGATGATAGCATAATACAGTTATACATACCTTAAAACTATATTTTGCATGGTTATGGAGAAAACATCAGTTTCAACAAAAGAAAAGAGGTATGAATCTAGAACAGCACAATCTAGCTCCTTTCATTTCAATTCAAATCTGATAAATAAAAATTGGCGGTAGAGTTTCTAATACTGACCAATCAGCAAGCCAGGCGGAAGTTGTAAAGTAAATCACTCTCAAATCACTCTGAAGAAGGACCATGAGATCAACAAATCATTTACAAATCATCCAGAAGAAAGTCTAAGTTAACAAATCATCTTCAAATCACTTTGAAGAAAGACTAAGTTCCAGAAATCATTTTCAAATCACCTTGAAGAATGGCTAAGTTCAACAAATCATGAAGAAATCACTGTAACAATTTCCTAAGTTTAACAAATCACTCAGAAATTGTCTGAAATGGGAAAGAAATCACAAGCAAATCACCCTTTCATAACAAATTGTAAGCAAATCATAGTCATCATTTTGGTAGAAAGTGATTTAAGCATGATTTGTTAAATGAATTGCTTACAAATCACTGAAACAAATCACTTTAAAGTGATTTTAAAGCAATTTGTAGGCAATTTGTAAGTGATTTGTTTGAAATTTTCTTCACTTGGGATTGTACTATAGTGTAGCTTATCTAAAATGAAGCGAAATCATTTAATTTTCATTTCAAACCATAAAATACAATTGATATATATAAAGTTTAACCACATAACACTTAGCAAATTAGTTGATTGGGGGACCGTAAATAATGGAAATAGATATCTGCATGTATTTACCATTAACAGAGGAATAGAGGAAATTCGGATTAGGTAAAAAACGATCGTTTTTTGAAGTAAATAAGTCAGGTATACTTCAAAATGGATGAGGTTAAAGTAATTTAAGAACAGCTGAAGCATGCTGCCTGAAAAATTTTCATTAGTTGGAAATTAAATAGTAAAACAATGAGTGAAAATACCGTTTGTATTTCTCATGTATTATATGCATAATTTTAATTTTTACTACCCCAAAAACGGTAGCACCGGGCATCAGGCGATGCTAGTTGCACACCCCTGCAACTGCCACGCAATGGTAAGCAAACTGCAACGAACTCGTTGGTGTAGAAATTGAACTCGCTGGTTTTGTTTTTGTACTTTCAATTTCGATTTCAAAGATGAATGTAAAAGTTAAACTGACCGGCCAGTAACTTCCGGATTTCTACGACGAAAAAAAAGTTTGGGTCGGCGATGAAAATTAGGGTCGGTCGGGTAACCGTAAACAAACATAATTTTTTGTTACGTCTTACCATTGCAAATTGTCCTAAAGTTTAAATGCTAACATTTCATAACATATTCAGAGTTCCATATTTATTGTAGACAAGCGGCATTGGTTGTTTCCAGAAATTGATAGAGATTGACATGTTTTGTGTTATCTGCAAAACCATAGTGTTCCAGTCAGACAATCAAACACTCCTTGTCATAATCAGGAAATAACGGGAAAATCCGTTGTCAATGCAGCGTGTAAATAATGGACTAAAAATTAGTATGAAAAACGTCATTCAGCTTTTAACTCAATAATAACTTGTATTTGCTGACAAGGTTATTTTATCGACCAAAGAACATACCAAAAATAATCACTTTAAACGAGAGGACTTGTTTGTCAATAATTTACCTCTTTTTAGAAATTGTACATACGTAGAGCATTCTCTTGAAATTCAAGGATACATTGAATGTGCAGTTATTAAATATATAAGCGCACGACGTTCACAAAAATTAATTATTAAAGACTTTAGTTAAAGATTTTAAATTGTCTCACCTGTAAATCCAAAATTATATCCGTATTGAGTTACGAACTACTTACAATTAGACTTCCTGGTCAATATTCTAAAATTCGACCTATGTCGGGTCAATTTGATTAAAAAAAATATTTGTGTTATCTTGGGATCGATATTCTTTAAAAAGATTCTCCAATTTTTATAGAATTTATTTAGATCGATTACTGCTCTTATATTCACCTGTTATTTAATTAAAATTTGTGTCCCTGTTCAATGTTGAACTAAATCACATACTGAAGTAGTGAAGTATGTACATCTACAGTAAGTAAAAAAGGATGAAAATATTATGATTAACAGTTATGTTGAACCATAAATTATTTAAAATATCATAACAGTTGAAACTTCAATTTTATTTTTAAAAAATAATAACATTTGAATTATTCCTCACATTTGCTTTTTTAAACTATTGTTCTTTATAAACAATTTGCTTTAGTCAATTAAACATCCCTTTGAAGACACATGTATTTAAATGCACAGGGTATGGATATAAGTAAAATAAAACAATCGTACAAATACAGTCAGCTTATTTCCAATGAATTATTATATATATGTTCTGTATACTGTATAATGTAAACCATTTTTTATTTGCGACGACTTTATTTCGCGATTTACCCGGGGAAAACTAGTTTGCGACGATTAATTTTCGCGATCAAGCCTATTTTGGATCAGTTGTTATGAGGCACATAGACTTTAAACACGGTTCGCGGCGAGAAATATTCGCGATTACGGGGCTCTTGTGAACCTCGCGAAAATTTCTCGCATGCGAATAAAAGTTTGTTTATAGTAGTTAAAATATTAAGTTTTCAAATATTCATGTATAAAGATATAAATAAATTTATTGCCTTGTGATCTACGTGTATTTGATTATCTTTATTGTACCACTCATATATTCAGCCACAAACAGATTGTCTTTGGAGTCTACGCATAAACCACACGGACGACTGATAGATCACAGTTATCAATGTAACGGAGGAACTGTCCATTCCGATCTAGGATATGGATACAGTTATTGGCGCAATCCCCGCAAGGATCTGGCTTTGGCTGTCTGTGGTGATGCCATATGGATCAAAAGATCCCGTGCTAGTCGAGGGATATCCAGTGTATGTAAATCGGAGTTTCCCAGCCCGATTGACCACCACTACTGCTCTAGCTACACCGTCAGCTACACAGATATCCAGGTTTCTGTTCTCGCTTACATACTTTAATTTAAATCGAGCCATATAGGAAAACAATGGTTTACCTTCACTATCAAATTGAATGGTTTGTTTCTCTGTAAACATAATTTTTGATTGTATCTCATCATCACTGTCCATGATAACCAGGAGGTCACCAGAGGAGGTACAATAGACATAGTAAGGTTTCCAACCTTCTTGTAATCTGTTCAGTTCTTGTATCTCCCTTTTCTTAACCATGTTTATAGTTCTTTCCTTGGGCGTTGTAAAATTTAGATCTCAACTCCTTGTAACAGTTACTGTTAGGCCAGATGGATTTTCCCCAAATTTAGTTTCTATTGACTTCAATAATTTGCCCGGAGGTTGCAGAGTTTCATGACTTTGTCACACCCACATGTCCAAAGTTCTTCATCATTAAGACAGGTAACGCTGTATGGTGGGTTAAATCCTGTGTTAATAAAGATGATGAGTTTTGGTTCTGAATACTTTGGTTTTATTGAAGGGCGATGTACAACTTTTGGTGTCTTCATTGTGTAATCGTGCCTCTCTGTTGTAATAGTAAATATTGACAGAGAACCAAACATTTCACGAACCTCTTCTGTGTTGATATTTTTGTTGATAAGAGAAGCATTCAACAAACCACAGACCCCGTTTATATAACAAAGATTTGGAGCTCAAAATATCTGTCTTGTATATCAACTGAAGTTCAAATTTGTAAACATAAAAAATGGAAAAATATTTATATTACCTGAAACTGTGGCCATATCCCTTTAAAGATCATTTTAATACTGACGATAAAAGCAGTTGCCTCTCGTGGTCCACAGATGACTTAAAGATTTTATAAAAAGACCACGAGCCTTGGTCTGGAGATCTACACTAAAGGAGATATATTATTAGTATACATAATAAAAGATGGGATTTGCATTGGAACAAAATTCTCAATTAAAGATTTTTTTCAAAGATTTCAAGAAATATTTTCAAATGAACGAATCAATAGACTGATTATTGAGATCATTCTACTCACAAAAAGAATTGCTCATACAAAGTCTGAAATAAGACATCAAAAAGATGCTTGAGTTTCTGATTGACAATATCTATATGATATTGTTTTGGAGACCAGGGGGTCGTAACATAAAGGCTACTTAAGTCTAAGACCGTGCTTAAGTAGGACTTAAGTACAGTCTAAAACGTAAGACCGTAACTAGAAGCGTGCTAAGATTTGGTAATCTTAGCAGAACTTAGGCGGCCGGTAGAGGTGACTTAAGTATATCTTAACTTTCATGTACATATATTTAGAATTATTTAATGTTGACTTTCGATGTTAAAATATTCCTCTGTTCATATTATGCATTAAAGAAAATAATTATCTCTATTTGACGCTGATTTAAGAATTTTACTTTTTTCGTTGGGGGGGGGGGGGGGGGTTGATCACTGATTCCAATATCACTCCCAACAGAGCATACATGTAAATACAAAATTTAATTTTAGGGATACGTCTGAAATTAGTGGGACCTCGGTTATAGAAGTAAATTGAACACAGTAATAAACCATGGATCTGTATGTTCGTTTTGAAAAAATGAGTTGAAATGATTTGTTAAAAACAGAAAAGAAAGAGGATGATGACAGTAATAATAATATTATAAAAAAAAGTATCTGTAGAACGCGACAAGTGCGGATTTAGACAGGGCTCACTACAGTTCGAGAGCGAGAGAGAATTGCTGATAAGTGGAGAAATACGGAAAAATATCCCGATTTTTTTTTGTATCCTTGATTAAATTGCAAATGAGTATATCATAAAACTTCTGCAGTTTTTGCTTCTGACATACATGGCCTGAAACATAGCGGGGATTCAACATGTATTGAACTCTTCAGAGTTTCAAATTTAAGTAGATAGACGGTCGATTATCTTTTCTTGTCTGCGATAATAACAGGGTAAGTGAACATTTGTCAAAACAAAAGAGTTACAAAAGGAAAACTGAAAACATCTCGGGTGATAAAATAATTGCCGTAAATTTACAATGAACCACAACTCGCCACTTTCTGACCGTGCGGTATTTGCTTCCAAACATTCCGATTAATTCATAACATAATTATAAATTTTAATACGAAATCTAATCTAACATAACTTAAACCAATAGGCAAGGACGTCAACTTCAATATGTAATGAATTAAAACCCTAACCGAATCACTTTTAGCAAAAATATCTATATAAAATCAAAAAACATAGGTTGGCTCATATGAAATATTTTAAACATAAGTTTGACTTAGCTAAGACCTAGCTTAGTTCGCTTTATGTTACGGTTTAAGACATACTTAAGTAGTACTTAGACAGGTCCTAAAATTGTGCCTAAAACGTACTTACGACCCTACTTAAGTCAAAAACTTAGCAAGCTTTATGTTACGAGCCCCAGGTTTTCCAACAATCTATTGGAATTTCCATGGATACCAATTGTGTCCCGTTATTGGCAGACCTATTTTTGTATTCATATAAAGCAGAATTTGTGCAAAATATGCTTGAAAAAAGTAAACACTTGCTGTGGCCTTCAACTCGACATTTAGATATATCAACGACTTATTGACAAATAACAATTGTTATTTTCATTCTTATGTCGATACGATTTATCCTGATGAGCTGTGATATTTTACTTGAAAAAGACATTCATGGTAATCTAACAATCAAGCTCAATGATAAACGTGATGACTTTAACTTTTCCATCGTCAACTTCCCTTACTTATGCAGCCAATATACCTTCATCACCTGCATACTGAGTTTATGTATCTCGGTTTATTCGATACGCAAGAGCATGCTCTATACGTATGAGCAATTTCTAAAACGAGGTAATTTTTTTTACAAACAAGTATATCAGCAGTCTCAATGACCTTGTCAGCAAATACAATTTATCATTGAGTTTTTATACTTATTGCAAGTCCATTATTTATACACTGAATTGACGGCGGATTTTCCCTTTATTTCCCGATCATGACACGGAGCACACTGTGCGCGTGACCGGTCGGCAGGGGATTCTCACTCCTCCATGGCACCTGATCCCACCTCTGATGTTTTGGAAGTCCGTGTTTGCTTTGCTCCTGTTTTGTGTTGTTTTATGGACTTTTGATATTGAATACTGTTCGTTATCTCTATATGCTTGATCCCAAAGAATTTATTCTCATTTGTTTTTAGATGGTACAAATATTGATTTTGACATATATACTGAAGTGTCCAGGAATGTTTTATTGAGATTTTCACTTTTTAACTCTAGTATTCAGACATACTGACCAAAGACGAACTCGTGGATCTTATCAGTACAAACCTCGTTCATTTTGAAATGCTATAATATTGGTTTAAACGTGTTTGCTGTGAACTCGTGGTTTCCAAAATTTTGTATTCCTCTGCTAGTAGTATTGACCAGAAACAATCTAATATCAGGATCAAGAATTCTATTCGCATGGGAATATGTCGTAAAGTAGAAGGAATGTAAATCTCCACTCAAAGGAAAATATACAAGAGAGTGGTGGTTTTTGGAATTAAAATCTCAGAAATTCTACCCCATTGTGGACATACAATATGTATGAAATGCTAGTATATGATTCTACTTTCATGATTTCATAAGACGGAGCATTTGTTTATAGAATTCAAACATGTTATGTACAACAGAATCCTGTATGTAAAATTTAACTTACATTAAGATATACAACATAGTACGTTTACGTAGAAATCTATTCACATTATGATATACAATAGAGTACAATTATGTAGAATTCTACTTAAATTAAAATACACAAAATGGTACAGTTATGTGGAAATGTACTCACATTATGATATACAACAGAGTACAATTATGTACAATTCTAATTATGTTAAAATACACGAAATGGTACAAATATGCAGAAATCTACTCGCATTTTGATACACGATATAGTACAATTATGTAGAATTCTACTTATATTAAGTACACAAAATGGTACAATTAATATGTAGAAATCTGCTCACATTATGATATACAACATGGTACAATTATGTAGAATTCTATTCACTCTATTCACATTCACATTAATATATACAAAAGAGTACTGATTTTTTTTACCTATGAGTTAGATACGTTAAAGTCTTTTCGGGATATAAGACAGGTTTATGGAAATTTTTATGTCATAAATAACATGGGAAAGAGTTTGTAGAAGAAGATTTTTTTTCTAATTTTATGTATTAAAAATTTACATTTTTTTTCAAGGTTCTTGATTTTTTTTTTAAGTATCCTAGTTGTGCATATAAAATGATAGTTTTAACGATGCGACAGAAAATATACCCACCCAACAATAAAGAACTAGATTAAAATCACACCAATCTCGTCTCAAAAAAGGGGAAATGGGCATTAAAGCACTAAAGATTGACCCTCTATATAAAATGTTAACCCCATCAACAGCAGGGGGAGAGGATTTCTAAAGGATTTACTGCCCCAGACTGAACATGTAGAGAGCAATTGTTTGAACCATCTTCTTTTAGCCATAAATCCTACCGTGAAATTTGACGCATATATTTGCACGTAGATGTGGTATGCGGTATAGATGAATAAATCATGGACGTGTAGTTTTTGTTTACTTCAAATTTATTTGTAAACATGGTTTTATAGTGTATATTTATTTATATATGAAAGAAATCGGGTTAAATATGAAAATATATCAACAATGAAAACCAAGATTGTTTTTGGTTTTACCGGTTTTTTGTTTATCAAATTAAAGATTCTAACAGTTTAGTATGCATTCCTTCTTCCACTAAAAGTTGAACGCTATATAGGAAGAGAGATGAATTATCCCTGTAATATACTTAGTTCACTTTGTTTTTATGTATTCGATGGCGTACATATTCCATCATTCATAATGGTTGCCTAATTTTCCTTAGCTTGACTGTTTATTAAAGATAGAAAGTGCATAATTTTATGCATTGGATTTCCATATCTATAAATACTAGTTAACAATATGCATTTGCAGTATTAGGTATATATATTCATTCAAAACTTTTTATTCCCAAGAGGTAATTTGTTTACAATTTATATTTTGGTTTATTCTTAGATTGATGCATTAGCAGTAGAGTGCTAACCAAGAGAGATATAATTTTCATTAACAAAAAATAATGTTTACTAAAATGCAAAATGCAAGCCAGATGCATATTAATGCCCCTTAAACTGCTCAGGTGCAAACGAAATTCATAACAATTAGCTGAACCAGGTGGTAATGTTCTGATG